TTTTTTTTTTTTTTTTTTCCTCTTGCCTGCTGCCATCCGAGGGGTGTCTTCATACAAAAGGGACTCCGAGTTCTCCTCCGGCTCTGCGAGCGTTGCCGGCAGCCCCCGGCGCCCGCAGCCCCTCCGCGCACCCAAACAAACTGCACGCGCAGCGCCCAGCCGCGCTCCGATCGCCTCTGGATTTTTATTTTTTTAATTATTATTATTTTATTTTTATTTTTTTAATGTCCGTGCCTGTGTTTGCTTTCTCTGCCTTGCTTTGATTCCAGCGAGAGAGAGAAAAAAAGTAAACACGCACACACACAAAAAAGAACATTTAACAGCGATTTCATCACTTTTTTTTTTTTTTTTTTTTTTTTTTTTTTTTGCGTAAAGAAGGAAGATTTTGCGCTGTTGTTTCTGATTCATGTTTGGGATCCAGGAAAGCATCCAGCGGAGCGGGAGCAGCATGAAGGAGGAGCCCCTCGGCGCGGGGATGAACGCGGTGCGGACGTGGATGCAGGGAGCGGGCGTCCTGGACGCCAGCACGGCCGCGCAGAGGTAGGCAGCTCCGCACCGCCCCAAAGCCGCCCCGGAGCTCTGCTGCCAGCAGTGAGTTTCGCGTAGCTGTCTCTAGTTAAATATTGATTCCCCCCTCGTCCCGTAGGAAGGAGTTTTGATTTAAAAAATCATCACAGGAACAATAAAGGAAGCGGCGAGCTCTGCTAGGTGGGAATAGATTGGGTTTAGTCTCGTGTTCGCGCGGAGGAAGGAGTTTTCAAAACTATGTTGGTGCTGCTTTAGCCTTAAGATCTCCCATCGACGATTCCCTCCTCTGATAAGCTGCTAGTTGTGCACGGATTCTCCAAAATGTATTTCTTTACCTCTCTTCCTTATCCCCGCCAGGATCAGCAGCTCCTCTCCACCCGCCCCGATAAGCGGGGACTGTGCAGAGGTTTCCGGAGGAGAAATTTAATTCGAAGCCTCCCTGTAAAACCACTGCCGCTTATCTTAGATTTCCCCAAAAGAAATCCCTGCACCTGGGAGGTGGAGATGATGGGGCTGCACCCGGCTCCGCTTTCTCTCTCATTTCTCCTTCTCCTCATCCTCTTTCCCCGGGGAAAGAAAAATCAGCTGCCGGCTCCATATCCCGAGCCCTGCAGCCGGCAGCAGCTCACGAGTTCCGTGTTGACATCTCCCGCTGTCTCCCACCTCTCCCCGCACCTCTCATCCCCCCTAGCTCCCCCCGCCCCCCCCCCCGCGGGCCCCGCCATTCGGAGCTCTCTAAGGAAGGGAAAGTTCTGCAGGGACAACCCTGAAATATTTCCCGTTGTCTCCCGGGCTGCCCTAGCGGTGTTTACCCGGCGCTCCTCCGAGGGGAGGAAGGGGCTCGCAGGACTGAAACTGAAAGATAAGGCGCACGCGGGGCGCTCCGGTGACAGCTTCGAGCCGACTTTGAGAAGTGGCAGAGCATGGCGCTCCGCGGGGCAGCGCGCCGGCTGGGCTGAGCGCTGCCCGCCATGCAGGGCCGCCTGCGGGAGGGCGCTGCCCTTGGAGAGGGCCGGTGGGTGCCGCTTCGGCGTCGGGGGGAGGTTGCGGGGTGCTGCGCGGCACGGTGGGGTCGGGTCGGGTCCCGGCTCTCCGCGGGGAGAGGCAGCGCCTTTTCCCCCACCGAATAGGAAGAGCCGCGGGGCGGTTCGGGGAGAGGATGCTCGATGCCCGGGGAGCCCAAAGGGGTCCCTTGTGGCCCCGGTGTGGGACAGGGACAGAGCCTGGGGAGGCCGCGCCGTCCGGGCTGCCGCTAACCCGCGTCTTTGTGGTCCCAGCGGAGTGGGTCTGGCCCGGGCTCACTTCGAGAAGCAGCCTCCTTCCAACCTGAGGAAGTCCAACTTTTTCCACTTCGTCCTGGCTCTGTATGACCGGCAGGGGCAGCCCGTGGAGATCGAGCGCACCGCCTTCGTGGGCTTCGTGGAGAAGGAGAAGGTGAGTATCAGTGCGGTGCCCCGAACTCCACTCTGGGGCCCTCCCCACTCCGTTCCCCCGAAGCCGTGGCACAGGCTCTTCCCGGGAGCCCCCTCCGTCTGCGGGCATTTTGCCAGGGATGGGGGGGCCCCTCTGGTCTCCCCCCTTTGCCTGGGGACTGCGAGCCGCCTCGTCCGGCCGAGTGATGGAGAAGCTTCATACCTTACAAGTATTTTTTTTCCCTTTCCTTTCCTCCTCCCCGTGTCTTTGGATCCAGGAAGCTAACAGCGAAAAGACCAACAACGGGATCCACTACCGCCTGCAGCTGCTCTACAGCAATGGTAAGGGCTGAGAGCCCCCGATGTCAGCCCCACCGCCCCCCACTGCCGCCACCACCGGCTGCCCTCCGGCCGCTCCTCGGCTGGAAACCCCCCCGGGGCCCGAGGAGCCGCTGCTCCCATCCCCTCCGCTCCGCGCATCCCCGCGCTCGGTGCTCCGGGCACAGCCTGACTGGGGCGGGCAGCTCCGGCCGAGAAAGCTCCGTCGGGTGCGAGCCCTCGGGCGAACCCCGCTCCTTGGCCGCTGGCCCCGCCGCTCCTCACTGCTCTGCCTCTTTTCAGGGATCAGGACGGAACAGGATTTCTACGTTCGCCTCATCGACTCCATGACCAAGCAGGTGGGTGCTGCGAGGAGCGGCCGTGGAAAAGGGGAGTGCGTGCGTGCGTGTGTTTGGGGGGGGGAGCGGCCGGCGGGGCGGCGAAACCCGGCTCCGGTTAGCAGCGTAAGCGGCTCCGCCGGAGGAGGGGGGGAAGGGGGGGAAAGGGAACCACCGCGTTCCCCGCTCCGCACCCGGGGGGGCCGTAGGGCCGCGCTGCGGGGTTCGACCCCGGCGTCGGGCTGCGAAGAGCCCTCGAGAGGCGGCCCGGAGCGCTCCGGAAAAATCTTGGCGACTTCCAACCAGCCCGACCCGGGGGCTGTTGAGCCGCTTAA